TATATATATATATATACAGTATATACATATAAAGCAAGACAGAGATCATTGCTGGTATTTGTCTGTGGGAATGTCTTTGTTTTCGATGCCAGAGAAATAACAGTTTGAATAAAGGTTGGTTCAGTTGAAGCTAGGGATGGAAACGACTCTTGGATTTCTCTTTTATTAAACTACAGAGCTGTGAAGCAAAAAACACTCAGTTACGCAAAAAAAAAACMCTCATACTGGGAAGGACATTTTCTGAAATATTACAGCTGTCCACGTGGCTAACACATTTACAGGACAAGTGGTGCTTCAGAAATGCTTTTCAAAAGAAATACAAAAAAAACCTTGGACAGATAAACCAAAAGTACTTTATTTTTATCCACTTAAAAATATATTCATATATTCCAGGCGTGGGCCAGATCTGGTGTCAAGCTGCTGGCATGGCAAGTGGCCCAGGTCTGGCAATGATGGCAAGCTTTTTAAAATGACATGCCACAACTGGCCCAGTTGTTTGGTTTAACTGGCCCAAATAACTATACATGCATGCACTGTGTTTCAMAATTTAATTTATTTTATCAACAGYTTTGAAATGTAATTCTCACATGTATAGTATGTACATGTCTTATCCGTGCACTAGCTCACTCCAGGACTCCAGGATGTTGGCGTCTATCCCAGAATACTCTTGCTGACTGAGTGTGTGTGTGTTTGTGTGTGGAGACTTGCATCATAAAGGTCACCTTTTTACCCAATGAAAGTGAATTCAAAATTATTCATAAGCCACAAAAATCTGCTCTGAACTCTGGAAATGTTGTTGTCTGATGCTCCTGCTGAGCAGAAATGTTGAGTTTACGTTCGTTTTCTATTGAAGTCTTTAAAACCTTGGAGGACAACAGTCACAAGTTCAGTTCTGTTCACTGCCAGAAACATCCATCATGCTGCTGGTGACCTAGAAAGTGTCCCTGGGATAATCAAATATACATGAAATTTAAAAAAAAAGAATAAAAGAAAAAAGATCTGCATGAATTTCAAATAGCATGCAAATGTCTTTAACCTACCAGATGCTTTGATTTAAGACAGGGCACACAATAGAGAGCTGAGGTTTAATCACTTTACAATAAACACTGTAACTCAGTTCATGAAAACTTATGTTTCTGTGTGAAAGTGTTGCTTTTTAAACAGAATCAGTGCAACTATTTTAAATAAATATACCTTCAGTGTGCTGTGTTGTTCGTGGACAGTTGTCCTTGAGCAAAATATTCCTTTAAAGCTGTAAAATCTTTGAAAGAATTGGGAGCATGCAGCTATTTTACTGCAGCAATCAACTTTTATGAGTTTTTTTTTWAAATCCTTTTTGTTTCGGCCCATTTGTCACTATAAAAACATCTTCATGTTTTACTTTAGTTTTTTCGCGAAGCTCATTTAGGTTGTTCTTTCATTTTCTAAATGGGACAAGCGAACAAATGACTTTGTCTACCCTTAAAAAACAGACTTTTGGKAAATTAAAGATGAAAAGATTATATTTAGAAACTCACAAAGGACCGTATAGTGTTCGTTTCAAGACAAAACCTTGTGTTGTTTACTCTGCATGCGGTGAAATATATACTGCTCAGATTTAAACCGCTGCTGCCTCTTTGCRAGGTTTTTATCCACATGGGGGTGGATGACTAATAAAACCAGTTTGCTTCTGGAGGTCTGAGCTAGCAGTGGATGCTGTGAGTGCTAGCGAGCGTGGGAGATGCTTCCTATCTGCCGAGGGAGAGAAAACACATGCTGCACTGCACTTTCTTGCTGAGTGTGCCCACTTCAGCACCCCATACAGCTCCCATTGATGAGAGCGCCACTTTCGCCCCCGTGCCCCCCGCCATCGACCCTCAWTTGATGCATTAGGGACTTGCTTGGAGAAACGCTACAAAAGAGAAAACATACAAATTTAGGAGGTTCCAAGCTGTGCGGGAGTTGTTTACCACGCCGGCCTGCTCCATTTATCCAAGTGTGAGATAAATGTGGGAAAGTTTGAGGTGTTGAAAATAATGTGAGGGAGCTTTTTTAACTTCTAATCAATGAAATGTCTATAAAAAGCAACAAAGAGAAAAACCACCTACTGTATGCTGGGGCTTTAGCAGGATTCTGGCTTCAGCTTGTCTTGCTATCTGAACATTTCAGGTTAAATCAGATGTAGGTTCAAAGATTTCAAGCGTGTTTTTCCTCCTCTATGCTGTTTAGGATGCTCTGATTCTGGAGGCTGACGCTTTGATTGCTCGGCAGGTGAAGCAATAAAAAAAAAAGAGAGAGCATGCATGATGTCTTTTTTAAGTCCAGGAGGAGAATAAAAAATGCTGCTTTCATTTTGTTCTGACATCCTGACTTCAGAGAGCAGGCTTTGCTCATGCCGCTGGCAGCTRAAGTCACCTGGAGGCTCGACAGTGAGTGATGCCAAAAGACACTGACGAGGCGAGCCGGTTACATCAGAGGCTTTGTGCCTGCAACAGCAAATACTCAATATATTGCTTTGTGACCGACAATGGGCTCTGACAGGCTCTAACGAGTCAATTTSTGTCCTGTTCAGTGGTCCTCGGCTTCTGCTGTCTGGTGCTCCCAGACAACGCTTTCAGATAATGTCCTTCATCTGCCAAAATCACACATCGCAGTAAATTTTTATAATGCATCCTGTAAAATCCTTTTTGCTTTAGAGATCGTGGTGGACGGATTATTTAGGAGGGATAACTGTTACAAGTAGGTATTTTCCAGATGGGTGACACTGAAAACCTAACAGGAAATTTTATTGGTCACATTAAGGGTTAAAAATTCGGTCCTCCATAGACGTACACCACGCAGCAATTTACTTTTACTTTGAAGGATGACTCATCTGACACCTGTCACATGTTTACTTTTCTATAGATCCGTTTCTGAATGATTTTTCCATCACTGCACGCTCCAGTGTATTCATCTTTGCAAAGAGTGTTTCGTAAGCTGTAAATGAGCTCTCCCTGTACAGGGGGCCAGAACTTGATGATGCAATCTGATTGCCTGCAAGTCAACAACCTTTTTTTTCTTTTTACCTCAAACCAAGACAAGGTCATGAGTGAAAAGAAATGACTTTAGCAGARAGCATTGAGGATGTTTAGGACTAATGCTCAACTATTGAACTTTATTTTTTCTTAGATTTTGTTTTCATTTTGTGCAAAAACATTAAAGTGCCTGTGACATGCAGATCCTTCGAATACAAAAATCAAAGAAAACATCTTTATGTTTAAGAAACTTTACATAAAAACACACAATTTTACTCATTTCATCACAGAACTGGCAGATTTCTTCTTGAACTCGGCTCAACCAAAGTGAAACAGGAAGTGACATCAAAGGGGGAACMCTTTAAGAAAAGGAGCTCACAGGTTTTTGTTTATTAAAACAACATTATTTGAACTCTAACTCTTCTTCATCTCTCTGATAGGGACTCAAAAAATCATCTAAAAACATCAAATTCTTCACAGTCTGTGTTGYTGGTCACAATGCTCTGTTCGCATGCAGACATTCCCCTTTGACATCACTTCCTGTTATTTCACATATAAATATCTCAACAACTGTTCATCTCAGCGATATGAAATGTTATTTGCAATATGTTGTTAATGTTATCTTTCCAAAAATGCATTCATATTTATTACAAAAATTTGTTGTTACGGGTACTTTAACTAGGCCTGCGTAGCAGTCTGTTAACAAGCATAATACCTGCTCATTTAAATCAGAATAACCTATTTTTTTTTTTGGGGGGGGGGGGGGGTGTCAGGAAATAATGATTTGTGTATCAGTATTTGAATTACAATTTTCAGCATTTCCTTCCATATAAAGTGACTTGTTTTGTCACCTATCTCCATTTGATTGGCTTTGCAACCGTTTGCTTTTAACACATTTGTCAAAACTAATTTAGCATTAAAAGTGTGTCATTTTGTTGGAGCCACCCAGATAAAAGGTTCTCCTCACACTTCTTATTAGAAAAAGTGATACTTGTCATGAAACAAATATGATTTTCTAAAGTGAGACATTTCATATTTTGATTTGTTTACCAGGAAATAAAACAAAGAGGTGGAATAAAATCAGCCGTTTTTAAAATCAAGCTAAGCCMGTTGAAGTGTTGTTTGTCTCCCTGTTTGGGTTGACAGAAATAGAACTGAGCCGTTCTTTACAAAATTAGACCGGTTTTACTTTACCAATGAGTCATGCTTTTTCTTTCAAAACATTCGTTGCTGCAGCTGAATTCAGCTGATAATCAGCTCAGCACTAAATCTCCACACTGATTATTTGGAATATTTGGCTTTTTTTGTTCTTCCTCCTAAAAATAAGTTGCAAATCAAATCAAATTAAATCAAATCCCCCACCTCCATTTTTTGGCTTCTTTTTCTTGAGCATCATCCAACTGAAACATCTCTCCAAACAACAAGTGAGTGTGAGACATTGTGAGGTGTTTCATTACTCATGCCAAATGCATTTATTGACTGAATRTACAGTACACAAAAAACACCAATAATGCTCCTGTCCACTGCTCGGCAGCTTTATAGCTCCTCTCTCAACACCTTTTGTTCTTTTTGTCAAGAACCTTTTCCTCCCTTTTTACTGAAGCAATCGCTTTCCACTTTATTTCTCAAGAATCGGTCRCATAAAACTTGACTGGCTGACTGTTTTTTTATGCAAGAAATTTATTGACAATGTGACCAATACACCATCTACAGAATTACAGATAGATAAAACATCTTTTCTGAAGCTCAAATTAGGTTGTTTTGGATTTACTAAGGTGTTAATGTTTGGTAGTTTTCTACTGTTAAGCATAGTCTGTGAACAGATGTCTTATTAAACAATGTAGTTCCTTTTCCAGCTCTTTTGTTCCTCTGATGGTTGTGCTGCAAACCAGAAAAAAACTGTTCAGTTTGGATCATTGTGTGGTTAAATACTACATCCACACTTTTTTTCATCTTTTATGCTCTCTGGTTTGTGTTCCTTTTTCGTTGCATCTAGCCAGTCACGCAGGTTGATGAGAGGCAAAATGATCTGTCCACTCTTTCCTTTCCTCCCATCTTGCCGCTTGCTTACCTTCATTACCCCCTCAAACGATTGGTCCCGGTGCTATACATGTCCCGGTTTGGACAGGTAGGCTATGAGGGCAACAACCACCCCCACATACATCCCTGTYCCGATGGTGATGGCCAGTGCAGCCAGGAACAGGGCTCTTCTGGAGCTCATCCCCGCTCTGGAGAAGTCTCCCTTAGCGATGGCCTTGCCAGTCTGACAAAACAAAAGCAGAGAGTGAAATGAGTCCGTGTGTTACTCATCAGCAATGAGTGCATGAGTAGGTGTTAAGCCACAGTTAAAAAGAGAGGAAAAAAAAACAAGAAATTCTCTCAGGGAACCATTAGTTTCCATGGCAATTAGGTCATTATGCCTCTGACAGTGACAGATGTGTTGTTTGGGTGTTTTGGCGACTGAAGAAAACAAAAATTGAGCTTACTCCTTATTTATTCATCAGACATGTTATTTTCAGTTACGATATATTTTTTCTTGCAATTATTACAGAAGGTGTCGCAAGATGTCTAGGAWTTGCTGCCGTTTCGTTGGGGTTTCAGGACCTGAAACGTTAGACGGAGGTCTTATRCACTGATGCAACCGCTCAAAATAATAAATCGGAGGCACATTTCTAACTCAGAGCATGATGTGAATGAAAATCTTGGCATTAATGTTTTTTTTTTCTATTCAGAGGTGACTGACAAGAAGCAAGAACTTTGCAGAATTTACGTAGCCAATCATTCGGAACAACTGCAAACAGGGTCACAGGGTGGAAAATGGGCTGTGGCGGYGCTTGTCTGAGTGCTTGTGCTCACTGACCTTAAATAGAACGCTGCGCAATCAGAATTAATGACGGGCTTGAGGGTCTCCGGACCTTTACCTTGTGAGAGTAGTAAAAGGCAACGATGCCCAGTGGCCAGAAGCAGCAGAGCATGGAGAAGATGGCCAGGCCCAGGTAGTCCCGAGGGGGCAGGACAATGAAGTTGTCCTCACTTTCGCTGTCGCTGGAGCTGTCACTCTGGAAAGCAGCAGATGCAGACAGAACATTTTAAAAATGAATGAATAAATAAAACAGTTTTATTTCTCAGTGTGTATTCTCAGCTGGAAAACAAACTTTGATTTCATCCAAGAGATGCAGTGTTGTWTAAAGTAYCACAAAGTGATACTTAAGTAAAAGTACAAGTATCAAACCAAAAAATGATTTTGGTAAAAGTCAAAGTCTCCTTTAGGAATATTACTTGAGTAAAAGTCTTAAAGTATCTGATACTTTTTGTACTTAAGTATTAAAAGTAAAAGTATTGATTTAAAATGAGCAGTTAGATTTTCTGTAATGATATTTATTAGGAGG